TACGATGTTGTTGGAGGTGGAGAACGATGCTCGGAAGACGGATAATCGAGACGAGATGTATGTGAAAATGTTGTCTTCGATGTTGGTTGCAATGCAAAATTGGGCAAGAAGAAGCTGCTCACTACCATGAATTTCAATAGAGAAAAAATCGTGGAATCGAAACTCTTTTACCTATGGATTTGTTATCTACGAAGATTTTGATCGAATGCCTTCAGAATACTGAAGGGAGGAGAGCAAAACAGGGAATGTACCAGGTGTGGACTCGACAAGAGCTCGTCTCGAGGATTACATTCGATCTTCCATAAAGAAGGCTTTCGCAAAGGTGAGTAATTTACACACATATTGGCCTATAGCAAAGATAACTAATCATCAAATACTCATTTCTTGGCATTGTTGTTTGCTATATAGATAGTAGAAAATGAAAATGTGAAAAATGCCGCTATAGGAGGCAGAAGGGATGCTTATGAAGAGCTTCTACAATTAGCGAAAGAAACCGTGATTTGGCCGTGCGAGAGCGGGAGCTATTTAACCCAATATTAAAGAAATGCATACGACCGCAGCCGCTGTTGTAGCTGTGACAATACAATGCTATGGAGCAGTGTTGAAGCAGCATTTAGCAGGGACGGGAATGCTGAACAGCGAGATCGTCGGGTCATTGAACGAGCTTCGAAACTCGAAAAGGTCATGGTTCAAATGGTGGTCGAAGATTTCGAAGAGTGTGTCAACGGAGGCAAAGTGATTATCAAGGAAATGATTCCATATGAAGTTGATACAGTCACATTAAGGCTTTTGGGACTATGGATAAATGAAAGACTAAACAAAGGGAGAAAGCTGGTTCATAATGCAAAGAAAACTGAAGTACATCAATTGATTCTCCTCTTCATTCCCTTTGAAATAATCTATGATTGAGTTTACTAAGTGGTTGCATTTTATGTTGCAGACATGGAGTCCGATTTCCAAATCCGACCGGTATGCGTATTCGGCCGCCGAGCTAATGAACTTGACTAAGGAAACTGTGAACGAGTTCTTTCAAATTCCATTGGAATTACAGAGGATTTGATTCTTGATCTAGCTGAAGGACTAGAGCAGGTCATTCAAGAATATGTTACCTTCCTAGCATCATGCGGTGAGTACCATGTTTCATTCACCAAGTTCGGGTTATCGTATCTCAGTTACGGTCGAATTCTCATCGTTTCGTATATTTCTTTTCCAGGTTCGAAGCAGAATTATCTTCCTACACTTCCTCCATTAACCAGATGCAACAAAGATTCAATGTTGTCCAGGCTTTGGAAAAGGGCTAGTCCTTGTGGTGTTCGAGACGAAGAGATGCACCAAACTATGGCAATGCAATGCCAAAATCCTTCCCCATCGACGAGCCTCGGAACGCAATGCCTCTACATCCGCCTTAATACGTTGAACTATCTAATCTCCCACATTCACGCCCTTGATAAAACTCTCGCCCTTTCGCCAAGAGTCTTAACACGAAACCGCAATCAACAACAATACGCTACTCCGTTTTCCTACTTTGAACGTGCCAACGGATCCATTCAAGCCGCTTGCGATCACGTTTCGGAAACAGCCGCTTACCGCCTCATCTTCCTCGATACGAACCTAGTATTTTATGAGTCTCTTTACATCGGCGGTGTAGCCAGTTCGAGAATTCGACCCGTGATAAGAATTCTAAAGCAGAACCTCATGCTGCTCACCAATATCCTCACAAACCAAACTCAAGCATTGGCAATAAAAGAAATCACGAAAGCATCGTTCGAAGCGTTCCTCATGGTGTTGCTAGCAGGAGTGCCATCGAGAAACTTCAATCGGTCCGATTACGAGATGATCGAGGAGGATTTCCAGAGCCTGAAAAGGATATTCTATACTTTTGGAGAAGGATCGTTATCCAAAAACGTCGTCCAACAGGAAGCAGAGAAAGCCAAAGGGGTGATATCATTGATGGGACAAACCACAGAACAATTAATAGAAGATTTCAGCATTGTCACGTGTGACACCAATGGAATAGGCTTCACTGGCATAGGCCAAAAGCTACCAATGCCACCAAAGACGGGAAGCTGGAACCGATCCGATCCGAACACGATACTAAGAGTGTTGTGCCATCGGAATGACCGAATGGCGAACCATTTCTTAAAGAAATCGGTTCAATTGACGAAAAGAAGCTTGTGAAACAAGCATAGGAAGAACATGCTATATATAAAACTGGAAATCTGAAAACAGGTTTGTGTTGATAATATTGGTGTTTTTTCATTGAATTGATTGTTGTATTCGGATTTGTGTTGAAGATGCTGCTGGAGTTGGAGGCAGGGGATGGGATTGGGGTTTCAGAGAGCAAGTGTACCATGATGATATGAAAGTTATTTTAAGAGGAGTGATTTGTTAAATTCTTAAATGGTAGCTTTGTTTGATTTTTTAAGCTAAAATTTTTGTTTGGTCCCTCCGTTATACTATGAATTTCGAATTTAATCCTTATACTCTAAATCTCTATAATCTTTAGGGTAAACTACATCATACGCCACTAAACTTTTACTTCTATAGAAATGACGTTAAATTACAAACTGATACAATTGTCACAATTCATGGTATTGTTTGAAATTATACAATCGAATGACATGAGATGATAATTTGATGGTGATTAGAATATAGAGTTTAGATGAAGTTTCATCAATTTAAGTGTTTTTTTCGAAAATTAAATTTAAAGAGGAAAAAAAAGTAAAATGTGAATAATTTGGTACTGATTTATCTTAAATGATGATTAGTTGCTGATAACAATTTATCGCCAACAACGTCCAAAAAATTCAATCCCTAAAATTGAAACATTTAAATGTTAAAAATGATCATTTAAAATTAGAGAATTTATAACATCACGTAACTGTTTTGAAAAGTTAATGACTATTTTATATATTTAAAATTTAGGTGATGAAAAATATTTTAGAAGAGTTTAGTGACATTTAGTACACTTTACCTATAGTTAAAAGATAATGCACCCTGCATCTTTGACTACCAAAGCCATCGAACACAGAAGAAAAGAGGAGAAAAACAATGGAAGGCAGCCAAAGCAAAGCCAACATCATCGGCCGCCTGCAAATCATAAAGCAAAATTCAGGAAAAAGCTACAATCAAATAGCAGAAGAAACCGGCTTAACTAACGTCTACGTGGCTCAACTCCTCAAACGCCAGGCTCAGCTCAAGCCGGAAACCGCGCCTAAGCTAAGGGCAGCCTTGCCGGACTTGCCCCAGGAGCTCTCCATGAGATGATGAAACCACCATTGCGGTCCTATGATCCTAACCTTATCCAAGAACCCACTGTTTACAGGTCCTCCTCCTTACGTAATTCATGCTAAATTGTCGAAGAAGATTAGTTTTTTGAAATACCCAATTTTTTTGTTTTGCAGGCTGAATGAGGCGGTGATGCATTTTGGTGAGAGCATAAAGGAGATTATTAATGAAGAATTTGGTGATGGGATTGGTTTATTTGGGCATTTTTTTGCTGACATTCTGATTCATTTCTTGTGTGTTGGGAGTAGAAAGGAAATAGTTAGCATCGGAACTTAATTGGAATTCAGAAATAAAAACTGGGTGTTTTTATTGAATTTACATGATGCATTTCTATGTTATGCGAATTCGGGTTCGAGAGTGTCGTATGTGTATGTATCCAACAAGGGAGTATTCTGGTTCGAGTGTCAGATGTGTATGTATCCGACAAGGGCGTATTCAGGTTCGAGTGTGGGATGTGTAGTATCCGACATGGTCGTATTCAATATTCGTATTCGGAAGTTCTTTTATGCCCCCCCTAAAAATAACTATGTTTTATGGTGCGGATGCGGTGACCTTGAAAACGTTACGATACGACCTTTACATTGCGTTGCGGCTGCAATTTAATACCATGTTCTTGGAGTATCATACCTCATAATGTCCGGATAAGCCTCAACATGGGTTTCAAAAATTGGTGCTTTAGGAGAAAATGGTGTCAATTTTCATATGTCCATTAACTGATCATCTTTGTGTTTTGTTTAGCATGTCGGCTATAGATTTCTACTGCTCTGTCGACAAAGTTACAGGCGTGGACGGGAAAGAACGTGTTGTCGTTACGTTCGATGGGAAGTACTTACCATACTCTGAGCAGGTTTGTCGCCCTTCTGTTTCTTTAATCCATGAACTGAACTTACTGAACTCGAATCCCAATTGTATCTTGTTGAAATGAAATACTCCTTTGGTTTGAAGGGTCTTGAAGCAACAGCTAGTTTGATTGTGGATATAGTATTCTACTTTGGATTTATTGTTTTCCTGATTGATTCCCGAGTTCAAATACAATCTGGAAAAGTTTTCGATTACCTTTAACTTTGTGATCCGAAGGATAATTTACCGATCTTCTAGTTTATGTTTTTAATCAGCCCGTTACCGTTTAACCATGCTAGAACAATGAAAACTTCATCCTAATAGATAAAAAACATGCACTTGCCGCTGGTATAGGGATGAACCTACATTACTTGGACTCGAATGTGGCTGTTGGACAATCCTTCAAGGTCATATCTCCGTATTCATGTATGAAAACTTGCCAGATATGGGTTTTTTCCTAGAAAAACATAGAATCGGATTACATAGATGAAACTACACTGGAACTGAGTTGTTCCATTCTTGGTGGAAATTTTGCAGGGATTCTCCCAGTCTGAGTTTAACTTGTCTGATCCATGGTATTGAATCCCTCATTTTGATCACAACATTTAGTTTATTAACCTAATTGGTACAAAAAGGTTTTGCATAATACTTTTACAGCAGACGTAATTGAAATGGTAATAATAAAAAAAAATGTAACTTTAACGTAGAGTACATATAGTATTTTGGTGTTTTGTAAACTTTTAATTGATTTAATCATTCAAATAGTGTCTCATTTTGGATTGGTAGGGGCAATTGCATCCATGCAAATGAGCTTGTAGTTTAGTGCTGTCCTCCAATTCCACTATCGCCACCCGCTACTCCACACAATTCCACTACCACCACACAGATCCACCTCCACCTCCTGCACCCCTACCAAATCCACTACCACCACCGGCGCCACCTACTCCTCTAGCACCACCTCTAATACCACCACTGAGTCCACCTTTCCTAATCCCACCTCCAATGCCACCACCCTTTCCGATTCCACCTCTTAGCCCACCTTCTTTTCCAATCCACTCCAATCTCACCTCCTTTCCGATTCCACACCAAGGCCTCCACCCTTACCGATGCCACCGCCATGTCCACCACCATTGCCAATCCTCCACCTTTTCCAATGCCACTACCATGTCCACACCTATTCCAATTCCACCACCATGTTCACCACCCTTGCCAATTCCTCCACCAAGTCCACCACCCTTGCCAATTCCTCCCCCAAGTCCACCGCCCTTGCCAATTCCTCCACCAAGGCCACCACCCTTGCCAATTCCTCCACCAAGTCCACCACCCTTGCCAATTCCTCCACCATGTCCACCACCTTTTCCTATTCCCACCACCAAGGCCTCCCCTTTTCTATTCCCCCACCAAGGCCTCCACCCTTACCAATCCCCCCACCAATCCCTCCTTTTCCAACTCCAACACCAATCCCACCGCCCCACACAAACCCTCCACCAGCTCCAACGCCACCACCAAACCCTCTACCAGCTCCAACTCCACCTCCAAGCCCTCCACCACCACCAGCACCTCCTCCAAAACCACCTCCTGCACCACCACCTCCACCAAAACCACCCCCACCTCCGGCACCAAACCCACCTCCCTTAGTTAAAGTACTTATCATCTTCATTCTTCCCCTCACTCGCCACATCTCTAGCAACCACGTTCACCGCAAACCACAGTATGAAAGTGCTTTTATAGGCCAATGGGGTCACATTAAATCATCTCAACAACTAACTGCTACCCACATGTATTGCCCAAAAAATAATGTTAGCTACCATTATCAAGTACCAAATCAGCTCACGGGGTTAGGTTTTCTTCGCTCATCATGAGATCAACCCTTGATTTGTTTCACGTACTAGTAAAACCACTCCCATAACCATAGACTCACGGATGAGGGTCCGCAAGCGGTCGTCCCTTTGAAAATTTTAATTTCTTATATAATCTATGTATTTTTTATATTGACATCCAAATTCTAAATATATTGTATCTCAACCTCTTAAACTAATTCGTATCATGAACTAATTGAATTAAATTCAAGATAAAACTTTGTTTATAGGTCAACTATGCGCGTACAGACTGGTATACTTTAATGACTACAAGTAGGCTCTTGCCGAGCATTAATAAACGAAAGGAAGGTGACAATCTTGCAGGTTGATTGGTTCTTGGTGATAATATGTAGTTAATAGTCCCGTCAACCCTCTCTTTATATGCAAGTCGAGATTACATCCAACACTTGTACATATAGGGTAAAACAAGCCAATGACCCACCGAAGTCCTACGTTTGAGGGGGAACAGTTGTATCTATCAATCCGTATATTTTTTTTATAGTCTAAGATGATTACAAAGTAATTTCTATTAAAAAAATTTAACTTATAACAACACGCACACATAATCTACATACACAACTGTTTGAACCTTATTTCATGCAATAAGATAAATATGGAAACCTTTATTTCATGCAACAAGTTGATTTTTTTATTGGTTGCGACTATAAATAACATTATAGGAAGGATTTTGAAATAGTTTTTCTTTAAATGTATTCATACGAGTAGAGTTCGGATGCAAGATACATCTTATATTTGAATCATCATATTATAAGTTACTAGCTAAATGGTATTACGAGTCAACTCAATACTGATTTAATTGTGATAAAGTAAAACATTTTTTTATCAAATGATTATATATATTATTATAACGATATTTCTGTCTTTAAATATTTTTATTCAATCTTTAAAAAATATGAAAAGCACTACTTAATAAATTAAATGTCCAATAAGGATTGAACACGCAATTGAATGGAAATTATTATACATCTTTAAATATAAGATCTTAACGTGAAACATTTTCTTTCACTTACAGTATAACATAATCCAATATAAGTTAAATTCTATGTTCTTATTCGATTAATATGTGCATGCATAAGTGATAAGTCAACTTCATCCAATCCGATTAGGGAAAAATATTCGATTCAAACTCGACGTGTTTCAATCTAACACTATAGGATCATTAAAAAAATAAGTTCGAGTTTAAGGTGAACAATACCCGACACAAAATAATAGTATATTTGACATTTTATATTTATGGTCAATGGCTGTAGTACTCCTCTATCTATATTTTCCTAATTAAGTTCCTATTTTATCTAATAAAAAATTATATATATTTATTTTTATTCGTGTTGAATGTGAAATTTTATTTTAAAAGTTGAATCGAATATTAGACCAAATAAAATTTTCCTAAACTTAAATCAAATCGAAGATAATACTCGATTACTAAAAATTTAATTTAACCCAACCGATGACCATACTTGCATCCAACCCTTTGAAATTAGGGAAATGAAAATGATAGATATTATTTTTCAGAAAAACAAAAGCCAAAAGTACACATATATAGTTGTTGAAAGGGTATGCATCATTGATCATGATAGAGTACAATTCTATTCAATTGAGATTGATATAATATATATATACATACATAATTTTAAATTTTAATAATTTCATATAATCTTTTTTATTTTATCGTTAAATCTATAAAATAATATAATTTAAAGGTAATGAAGATTTAAGCATAATAAAATACATATTTATCTGAAAAATTAAAATAGAAATTGTAGTATAAAAATCAGAAACCCCAAGCCTTTGGTTTTACCAAACCTCATAATTGAATAAAAATTATTATTATTGATGGTATTGAATCCCCATTTTAATCACAACATATATGTATTGACCTAATTGGTAACAAAAAGGTTTGCACAATACATTGACATCGGATAATTAAAATGGTATTAATAAAATAAAAGTATCTTAATTTAACCATCTGCTCCTCACCAAAACCACCTCCACTCCTGCACCCCCACCAAATCCACCTCCACCTCCTGCACCCCCACCAATCCACCTCCACTCCTGCACCCCCACCAAATCCGCCTCCAAAACCACCACCGGCACCGCCTCCACCTCCAGCACCCCTCCAAATCCACCACACGACACCACCTCCGCCCCTGCACCACCTCCAAATCCACACCCCCACCTGCACCACCTCCAAGTCCACCACCAGCTCCGCCTCCAACACCACACCTTTTTCCGATCCCACCTCCAATGCCACCACCCTTCCCAATTCCTCCACCAAGTCCACCACCCTTTTCAATTCCACCCTAGCCCACCTCCTTTTCCTGTTCCACCACCAAGGCCTCCGCCCTTACCGATGCCACCACCAAGGCCCCCACCTTTTCCAATGCCACCACCAAGGCCTCCTCCCTTCCAATGCCACCGCCATGTCCACCACCAGGCCTCCACCCTTGCCAATTCCACCACCTAGTCCCCCACCCTACCAATGCCGCCACCAAGTCCACCACCTTTTCCTATACCCCCTCCAAGGCCTCCACCCTTGCCAATTCCACCACCAAGTCCCCACCCTTACCAATGCCACCACCAAGGCCTCCACCCTTGCCAACTCCGCCACCAACCCCCCGCCCTTTCCAATGCCACCACCCAGTCCACCACCTTTTCCTATACCACCTCCAAGGCCTCCTCCCTTTCCAATGCCACCACCAACTCCGCCACCTTTTCTTATTCCCCCACCAAGGCCTCCACCCTTACCAAACCCACCACCAGCTCCGCCGCCACCTCCAAACCCTCCACCAGCACCAACACCTCCTCCAAAACCACCTCCTGCACCAGCACCACCTCCAAGACCTCCACCTCCACCAAAACCACCCCCACCCCACTCCAGCGCCAAACCCACCTCCCTTAGTCAGAAAGTACTTCCCATCCTCATTCTTCTCCGCATTCACCACATCTCTAGCAACCACGTTCACCACAAACACATTAAAACAAAGCAAAGAAAACAAGACAACTCTCTTAGTAAAGCTCACCATTGTTGTCACTCCAGCTACGTTCATGAGAACCATGGTATCACAAAGTTCTTTTATAGGCCAATGGGGTCGCATTAAATCGTCTCAACAACTAACTGCCACTCACATTTAATGCCTAAATAATAATGTTAGCTACTATTATCAAGAATCAAACCAGCTAAGGGGTTAGTTTTTCTTCGCTCATCATGAGATCAACCCTTGCTTTGTTATTTAAGTTGGAGATAAAAGTTGTTTCTTAGTCAAACTATGAGCACACAGACTGGTATACACTACGACCTTTGATCTGTACCTTCCCCAAAAATGACTAAAAGTAGAGAAATTAAATCTCAAACATTCTTTAGAAACATAATATTTAATTATTGATTATTCTAATCATACAATGAAAAGATCTCCCAACCTGTTATATTCACGAATCACGACACATTCATGATCATAAAGTAAGGCAAAATTAGATCCAAAACTTGTATATTTATGGTAAAAGTAGCTGATGGCCCATTGAAGTCCTACGTTTGAAGGACCAAAAAAGCTGTCACGTTATACCTATGAGTCCTTATATTCTTTTACTCCAAACCATAAGTATTTATTACATCAATGCAATAAGGATAAAATTACATTTTTTTCATTTAACTAAAATTTTAATAAGAATTAAATTGAATGACTAAATTTTAAAGGATTAAAATTGTGATTTTCAGAAATCAAAAGCCAAAAAGTACACATATATAGCTGTTGAGAGGGGCATGCATTATTGATCATGTCCATGTGCTTGGTAGATAGGGTATTTTATTGCCAAATTAAATTGATTAGGGTTTATTATTTTATAACTTTTTTTTTCAAAGATATGAATATCTCAGATAAAAATCTCATCCATGATAGATTATATGAATGAGTGGAAGACGCTGGTCCCTTCAAAATTTTAAAATTTTGTATATTTAATTTTTTTATTAATAATATATTTCGTTCTTAAAGTTTATAAGACTATTCATTCTAAAGTTGTGTAACTATATATATCCTTGATTTCTGAAAATGAACTTTTAATAATTTAAATTATAATATTTACTAATTTAAATATTTTAATAATAATAATACCAATTGAAATAATGTTAAGCATATTAAAACGAAAAATTATTAATGGTTTGCATGATAGTGAAGCCATTTGTATATGACTTTTGTGTAATTTAATGTCCAAAGGCCACCACGTGAGTATAGTATTGGGCCATGCTACAATGTCGGCTCGGCGTCGGTGTTGGACTTGGATTTCACCGCCACCGATGTGGCAGGGCAGCTGAGGGTTGTCACCATTTTAATGAAACATATTGGATCCTAAATCCCACACTATATTTATTATATTAAAATTAGACATATAAAATTCAATTTAACTTAAAAAAAATGCTTTTTTAGATTTTCATTTATTTAAATTAAACTAATTGAATAATCGAATATTAAAATTATATCATTTTTATCTTTGATTAAATAATTTAATTATTTTTTGACTTTATACGTAGTGAATTGCATCATATGTTCCCAAACTATAACCTTCATTCTAAATTGGTCTTTAAATTTTTTAATATTTCAATTTCACCCCCAAACTATGAATCCCATTCTAAATTAGTCCTTAAACTTTTGAACATTCTAATTTCATCCTTAAACTATGACCCTCTTTCTATATTAGTCCCCAAACTTTTGAATATTTCAATTACATCCCCAAATTCATCCAAATATGTAATTAGTTTTAACCATAATTTAACTTAATTTTTATTTTTTCAAACATATAATAATATAAATTGGCCTAACGATTTTATTAACAAGAGTGTTATTAGTATATACACTACAGCAAAACTTTACATTTGCGGCGTTTTTTTACCTATAGCGGCGTTTTTAAGCGCTGCAAAAAACACCTGCGGCGCTATGACAAACGCCGCAAAAAGCGCCGCTGAAAATAGCGTCGCTAAAGTTCGCGGCGTTTGGTAACAAAAAACGCCGCAATAGGTAACGATATATAGCGGCGTTTGTCCAACAAACGCCGCAATAGGTGTTGAGATTTAGCGGCGTTTTTTCCACAAACACCGCAAAAGATCTGGTATATAGCGGCGTTTTTTTATAAACAAACGCCGTAAAAGGTCTATCTATAGCGGCGTTTTAAGATACAAACGCCGCTAATTACCTCTCTATAGCTAAAAGAAATTGATTTTGCAAATTAAAACTAATTTGTCAAATGTTGTTTTCTACTTTTTTATTACCCAAATTTAACCTGTAGCATTTTCCAATAAACTTGACATCCATAACAACAAACTTAAAATCCATAACAAGAAAAATGAAATCCATAATAATAAATCAAAGTTTACATTAACGAAAATAATGTAGTTCAACATTATTAACTATAATAAACAATAATATCTAAGATATTTTGCTTCTAATCTTACACATTCTTCAAAATTCTTCGTCACAATGAGGCGCTTAAATTCAAAGAGATAAATCCAGTTTATATGGGAAAACAATGATGCAGAGCTAGTATCGTTCTGTCATTTCTTGCACAGATATTTTGCTTCATGAGGTCTTACTCCAATTGGCATGCCACTTGAAAAGGCCCCATCTATGGCAATGCAAACCCGATCTCTTTTCATATCCAAATAAATCATCAGTTTTAGATGAAAATCCATTATATCTTACGTTAAAAAAGTTAACAACACATTTCTGCATGGTCAGTCCCAACAGTCAACAACTCTATGGCATGGGCAACCATCATGATGATAAGCAAAATATAGAGATAGATCTTAATAATTGTGCAGAAACATCCAAGCTTGAATTTCATGATAACTTCTAACAGCTTATCGGACCAAACATATTTTAAATCAATAGCACCCAGAAAAAGGCTCTAAAATTGCATTCCTAACAACAGAAAGATATAAGATGGAAATATGACAGCTTACCAAGGACAAATCCTTTCAAGCATTCTGCTAAAACAACCTGAGAACAGACAAAAGCACAATCTAACTTAAAGATAAGGAAGCAAAAAGAGAATTTAACGGATATTGTAAATTAATATTTTATCCCTATTTGTCACCTCAGTATTTTCCCCAAGAATTTCAATTCTAAGCCATCAACTTATGTGCAGGGCCATTGGTTTCAATTGAATGTTTTTCTGTGCCAACTGTACATGCTTTCTAACCCCTAACAGAAGAAAATAAATAAACGAGATATGTAATACAAGGAAAGTACATACCACTGTGAATGGCCTGATGTATAACAAGTGAGAAGGAAAAGTATTATGTACGAGAAGGAAAAGTCATACTTGTTGCTTCAATCGTTCATTTTCTTTCATCAATTCAACTTCCTGCAATGCATGCATCAAAACAGTCTTATGTCTGTTCTTTAGTATATTTTTAATTCCTCCTTTTTGACTGCTATTTTGTATGTTTATGTACTGACCTTTCTTTGAATGACACTGATTTCTCTCATAATCCTTTGACCCTAAAATACATTAATAATTAGAGCTAATTAAGTGCCAAAAATATATGATAAATTAGAGGTCACTTATAAGAGTACCATTAGTGTAAAGGAAACAAAGATTAATCTTCTAAGTTCTAACTCTCAACTATAAAATTTTAAAGATAAGCTAGATTAAGATATATATCATAAATTCTCTATCATTATCAATGCTCTCAAAGGATACGAGAAATCAATCTCTATTAAAAAACTATAAAGAAGATGCTCCATAACTTACTAAAATTTTGGCAAACTAAACTAAGAAAATGGTAATTATTGAAATAAAGAGTATATTTATCTCTTGATGAGTTTATTAGATCTTTGATCACTCATAAGTTGATGATAAAAAAGAAGAAAAATAAGAATAAGAAAAATGTGTTACTCTAAAACTCATAAAGAGCAAAAAGAAAGAAAAATCAATATTTGTTTATTCTCTTCTTTCAAAACTGGTTTCACAAAACTCCCAACATTCACAATTAAAAAAAACCCAACCACAACAACATGACCTATTGAAAGTAGGGTGCGATGGACAAGAAAACATACCTGCAGGTAGTTGACAGTTGACGACCGGAAGAGTACGACGGCGGTGAGATGCTTCACGATTACCTGTCACGAGTTTTTGAAATTCCTAAATTTAGATCGGAAAAAAAACCCCATGTATAATGTATTAAATTTAAGCTACAAACTAATCGAAAACAATTTCAATAATAAAATACAGAATTATCAAATGAAAGTTTGTTGCTAACTTATGTACTAAAACATGATGAATACACTCCTACCGAATGTAAAAGGTTTATTTAGGGACGAAGTATAACATTTAAAAGGGAAAAAGAATGACTCCTACTAAATGAACTGCTTGATTATAGAAATAGTGCCTTCCATTATAGAAATAGTCCCTTGATCTCAGAAGAATCCCACAGAATTTGATATCTAGTTTTTTCGAGTTGCAAATATTCAGGTTGGGGAATCTACCAAGTGGAGTTTATCCCGAGGAAGACAATGTTCTGGATGGGAGTGATAATGAAAAGCTCATAGAGGAATTGAAAAATCTTCAACATCTGAATAGACCAAGGATAATAATAAAAAGAATGTCTGCTATACAAAGTTTTCTGAGCAAACGACCATGCTTTTAAATTCTGATAAGGTAAACTCGGTAGTTATATGGCCTAAATTAATTGCAAACGGCTTAGATCAAAGATAAGGTGAACTGGTTGATGGAGTATATCATTCTTATGTTCCTCATAAATCTGATACCTTACCAAGTGAATGAAAATGCAATTACTTTGATGTGTTCATCGTTCTAGCTAAAGAAATTTATACCATTTGATTTCTTAAGCAGTACACGAAAGCACTCCCTTCACCCATAAATCATCGGATTATATCAATTATGCAGAAAAAAAGTTGGAAAAAGAATTAAAGATCACTATTCACTACTTAAACATACAGGAACAACGAACTAAAAGGAAAGATCAAATGTACCTCCATCACACAACGTTGATACCTCAAATTAACAAATCAGACACCTTCAAAAGAAACAATATGATGTTCTTTATTTGCTACAGCTCTAGAAAACTATAGGAGACCTAATATTCAA